TTCCTACCACGTTTGTACGATACACACAGCACAAGGAGATACAAATGGAGCAGGAGTTAATTAACTGAATACGAGAAGCTGTTTGATAAGAGTGGATAATGAGGAGATTACACAGGCACTAGCTTGTTTGGAGTTAACCATTCAAATGTTTGGTGTTGTAGGGTTTATTTATAAGCACCCATATTCGAGATTATGAGAACAGGTTGATATTTCGTCAACAAATCTTGTTGAATTTACCGTTTGTCCTTGTCTATCTTATTGTCAGTCTGTATAATTCCATGGTTACCGGAGTTTTAAATAATTACGAAGCCACAGGTATTTGCGCAATGTTAATTAGGCAGATTACCTTGAAAAACATTGCTGCCGTATTTCTGATATAGTTTTTTGCAAATTTCTCAGTTTTTAATAACAATTAATTTATTTTACTATTTTTTCTGTAGTCCTATAACAGCGCCAGATAACACCTCCAGAGGAATGACGCCAATTTTGAATTACCCTGTATATATCACTATATTGGGAAAACAATTGAAAAAGTGGATAGCGGGCACTTAACAGATTTAATTTATGTATTGTAAACGAGAAAAATGTTCTTTTCGGGAGCGAGTCTCACACTTTGTTGCCTCCGGAAATACCCTCCAGAGCAAGTGCATTTCTGAATAATTCTGTTTACGGTATAAAATAGATAACACATCAATAAAGCATTTGGTTTCAGAGACAGATTGGAAGGACCCGGTATATATTCTGATATTAACAATCTGGGAAAGCTGAATGCTTTTCCTCAATATACCCACATAGATTTTTCAGTTTAGCGATAACAGGAGTGGAAGATATATTCCTAAACTTTATCCCATTTATGAAATTAATTCCCGAAGTTTGCCGAGGACCTGAATTTCTATTATCGTGGCGAAATTTACATAAAACTCATTTAGAAAGACAATAGTTGATTACATGTCGTCGGAAACCATAACTGGATTTTGTGGTGCGAAACGGGATCTGATTTCATTATTGCATTTAATAAAATAGACCACTTCTCTTCGTAATCTCTGCTAGGCTGCCATTATTGGTTTGTTGCTTTTGGAGTTTCCAATTAGAATTTTATATGTAGTTTGCCTAATTTATTAATAGAAGGAACCTTACAAACAATGCGAAATTAACACGAAGTACAAAGCAGAATAAAATTGAAATAAAAACTTAGCAGTAGTACTATAGAACAATTAATCTCAGGCTAAAAATTAAAAGCACTACCGGAACTTTTAATTAATAAAAACGTCGTTATGACTGAAATAATATTCGCTCTCTTCCACTGCTAAATATCCAATTACGTTCCAGAGGTCTAACGTTAAAAAACAGGGGAAAATCTTAAAAACTCATTTACGAGCAAGGCGAACTTTTATATTCCTAATAAAATTAATGAGTTCATATTCTTTCCTAGAGTTTTAATTTAATGGACAGGACTTTGCTTTTAAAAAATAAAGTTTGTTGCATTATAATGGAATTTTCATGTTAAGACTTGAATTGGGCTTTCAAACTTTCGTCACAAATAAGAGTACAGTTTAATACCTTATTAGAGCAACTCTGTTTTGGACTGTTGGGACTGGTTATTTTTTGCATTATACGCAAACAAACAACGTTTTCGTCTACCGTCTCAAAGTATTTCATTCTCATGTCTTAGTGTCTAGAGTCGTCGACTCAGTTACTTCTGTTTTATTCTATACAAATCAAAATTTAGCATCAGCGTCACTAGAGTGCAGTGAAGCATCACTAGCGAACTGAACAAAGCACGTTCTAGATATTTTGCTACATAAAGAGTGAGTTTAATTAGATTCACTGACGTCTAGTTCAATTATTGAAAATATATTGTAGTAAACTAGTTCACTGCCTAATAACCGTAATTTGTTAAGCCGCTTTGCGACATGTAGGTAGTTAAAGAAATCAGTTAAGCTGAAAATAGACCCAACTTGCGACTGGTATTAAAAATGCATTACATCTTCATTAAATTGGCAACATAAATTAAACTGAAATCTTTCAGACCGGAACATCCGACGTCAACGCAGTTTCGGAGTTATTATGCACTCGGACATACCATCGGCACAAGAATAGCTAATGCCCTAACATGGCCATCAATCATAACGTATTCATGTCGACAGTGTCTGGCGTTTATTTAATTAAAATTTAATATAGATTGAGGATCTTATTTTTGTAATAAACTCGCTGTATTGGAAACCACGTAGACTGTGACTGACGAGGCGATCGGCAAGCTAGTTTGCATTCATCTTGAATGTTAAAAAACCAAGACCGCATTGAAGGAAACAATGCCAAACAAAGATAAACAGGTTTCAGTAGGACAATACAGAATTGAACCAAACGAGAAAAAACATATCGTCCAAATTCACTATACACTGGATTCATCTGATAAAATTGGCGGTATTTAAATCGTGCATTATATTTATATACCGCATTGTTTATAATGTTTACTGTCTGTACATTTCAAAATAATTCGTACTATGTAGATTGCAGAACCTTAATTTATTCTGGTCTTATTTTAATAAGCAAAGTGATTTACACAATAAATAAATTATGTATAATTAGATAATATCAACTAGCAAGAGTGTTTTAACTACAGCAAAGCGGATTCAAATTGAGCAAATACTCTAATAGTACAATGAATTTCTCTGAGGGCTCACCGGGAAAGGCAACCAACATTAAATAAATTTCGTTTTTACCCTGATTTCGTCAAAATTTTACAAATAGATTATTAGTAGTTTTTCTATTCAAGACTTATAGTACAGTTCCTTTTCAAATAGCACTACTATACAGCATGTTCCGTTAGGATGCAATGGCTTGACGTCTAGACCGTTAGATATAAGTGAAAAATGAAAATATCGTGGTTTTTACATTTTGTGATCAACATTTTCGCTATGTTCTTTTGTGCGTAAATTCGGAAAGAAAGTTAATTTCAGTATTAGTTTCCCTCGCTTTCTCCAAAAATACACACTATGTCCGCTAAATCACCAATTTCCTGACCGGATCTAGAATCAGGGACAAGCAGTTCGAGAATTTCCCTAAATTCTTCTTAATTTCTTAAACTATCTGATAAAGAAGGCCTAAAATACACAGAAAAAGATGGCAAATAAATGTGGCTAGAAAACAAATTTTAGTGTTGTTTGAAACATTTGAACTTTCATAATTCGAAGAACACACACCTGAGCAGGTTTGAAGCAATAAAACTTTACAGTCAAGGGAAGAAGGTCAATTTCTTCCTTTAATAGCCGACCAGAGAAGCAGGTTGCTATCTTTTACCGTTTCTAAAAAATTGAATTTTCAAAATATTCTTTGCAACTGTTGGCAAGAAAATTAAAATTGTCGGGAAACAATAGAAGCAGTGGGGTATCAAATGATTGGAAACTTAATGGAGATTAAGAAAAGGGAAAATTTGAATGTGCTACTAAAAAAACCAAAGTAAACGACGGAAGCGATTTTATAAGACTTTTAGTGTAGTGGAAAATAAATTGAGGTAACATTGCCAAATTAAAGAGCCACAGCAATTTTATTTTTTGCCAATCTCGAACCGTTTAGAATTAATGAAGCCATTTCATACCAATGGGACACCCTGTATAGCGGGCTGGGATCGAAAACTCAAAAATTCAATTGATTCGTAAAATCTAGTAATACTATTGGCCTTCTTTGCGAATACTTTCGGTAAAATGCGCTAGCGTCTGAGGACATTACGCTTTCAATAATTGCAATAGTTAAATTCGAATGTTTTAGCTTATATTCTTATTTACTTTGATGCTTTATATTCCAATACTTTATTCACAATTGAAACTTTGGAGAGTAAGTTTTGTACTCATGACCTCAAAAATGAGACACTTTATTTGCTCCTTTCCTCCAGGAGTTCTACTGGTTCTGGCTGGCTCAATTGAATATTGTACTGGAGGTCACGTTGTCTTAACTCTTATTTCTAAATTATTTACATTTAATTTCTGAGAAATGATAAATTAGAAAATACGGATTCAAAAATAAAAAGCGGCAGCACCTCCTAAACAATACAAAGATGCTACCGACTATTAATGGGTTGGAGTTTTTTCATATGGTTGTACGATGATGTTGTGCATTGTTTTCCTTTAAGATTTCGAGATCTTCTAATTACTCAAGGAGCGCAAAAGCAATTGTGGCTTAGACAATATTAACCAGCAGCCACGGCCAATAAATGGATGTTTAATTATAGATATTTGCGGTTAGTTTTTAAATTGTGCTCTTCAAAACTTAGAATGCACATCTACTTTTCCCAAGAAAATTTAGGACTTCTCCAAAGAAGTCCTAAATCGGACAAATCTTAGAGATAATGCACACACCAGAGCACTGTGCTATTTTCAAGTGACATGTTTCTCTTGAAAAGTGAAAGTTGCCAGCGAAAGTGCCTGCTACTAGTACTCTGATTGCCAAACTCGTACTGCCAGTACTCTTGGAAAAGTCTGAAGTAACTCTTCATGGAATAATAGCTAAAGCATTTGCGTATATTATCCAAAGCCGAATTTTAAAAAAGGACGCAACAAATAAGAGTTGAAGAAGGGCTTCAGGTGTACTTTTCTCACAGATCATTTTCCAGATTTTTCAAGATGAGCAGTTCTGTGATAAATTGTGCAGATGTGGGAAAACTCATGCTATGAGTGCCGCATAGGACTCGAAATTTTCAAATTAAAAACTATAATGGAAGTGTATTCTTCTAACTAATATTAAATTTTCCGTTAAACATTCGCAACTCTTAATCCAAATTTCATTAATTTCAATGCAACTCCCTTCATTAATAATTTACCTACATACCCATATATTCCAATTGGTCAAAAATCAATAGCACCAAATAGTTTAATCCCACGACAGTCGGTATCTTTTGTCTGAAATTATACCCGTTTCTATGCAGATGGTTGAAACAGTTTTCCACCAACATTCCAATTTATCGATATGTTTTTTTCACCATAAGTTCGAACTTACCTTCAAAAACCTGGAGGGTCGCCTCAGCACTAACGGCATCCCCAACGCCATTCTCAGCTACACATTCGTACATAGCATCATCTCGACCCGCCTTAACGGGATCGATTCTCAGCAGTGCCCCACCATCAGGAAAATCTTTCACTTGGTACCGAGTCTGAGAACCTGCAATATATTGATATAAGCACATTTGTGGCATGCAATTATAAAACGCGTCTAGCAACAATGTTATTCACGTGTTTGAGGAAACAAGGCCACAGAAGCAGTGAAACGATTAAACAGCCATAAACCTTACATATTGCTTTATTCATCTGGGAAATTACGCTTTCTTTTCCTTCGTTTAAATTTTCCGCTTTTTCTCCCTAGAAAACTGCAAATAGTGACGTCTCAGGAAACAACGGTCTTCCATCCACATAGTGGGATTAACCGTTCTTTAGGATGGTTTTATTTTCTGCTGTCGCGACCGCTTAAATGCGTTCTTTGGATTTACGACCGGTTAGGACGTGACTTTATATTCATTTTTAATTTCGAATGCTTGTAATATATGTGAAACATGGAGATCTTAAATAGAAACATTCATTCGTTAAGCACATGTAAGGTTTCCAGTAAATCCGCAATAATACCCGCTACAGTGTGTATCACTTATAATGGAAAAACTCTTGTATTTTATTTATATTTAGTAGCTTATCTAGAACGTCATGAGCTTAATTGTTTCGGGTGCTCTTTTCTAACTTCAGATCATCCCAGCCTCTTACGAATTTGCGAATAGGAACAATTTTCTATATTTTGAGATGAGATTTTCTATCTTAAGTTTCGATCATCTACACACTGTAGTTTCTTGACCAATCGCAGGATTTTATGATTGAAATAAACTTACCTGATACTTTTTTGCCATTCTTCCTCCATTGAATTTGCGGCTTTGGATGTGCTTTCGCTTGACAATAAAACCCTGCTACACCCCCAGCTTTAACTTGCTGGTTTCTCGGCTTGGTAACAATTTCGGGAGGATCTGAAACCAATACTTCCAATTAGATACAGATAAGGATTCTGAAATATAATGCGCTTATTTAATTCAATCAAATTTTCATCTGTGTTGGAATGTCCATTACTAATCCTGCTTTACATTAGTGCTATTTTCAGCCATTGCCAACTTGAACATATTCAAGGCTGGCTTTCCATAAAATACTCTTATTGGCAAGTTATTGATTTTAGAGTTCGCTAGAGCATATTTACCAAGAAATATTTTACGCTATTTAAATTCCAGCAGAAGGTTGTCTTATGCAAATGAAATCAAACAGGTTTCCCGTATTATTCGTGCTAAAATTCCGAGAAATTGTCTGATTTTAGGGTTGGCATTCGGATACGAAACAAATTACGCAATACAATCGTTCGAATTGCAAATGAGACATTAACCGGTCCCCTGTTTTTGATGAATTGCCGCGAAAAATACATTTTTGATGTAAATGATCACAAGTTCATTAATATTTCGGCTTCTCCCTGTGCTACTTCGGATCTAAAAAGTCCATTAATTTGATACAAAAAATGAGGGAATCATTTTCGCTATCCTAAATATTTATTCTGAAAAAGAGACCAATTTCTTATTCAACGTCTTTCAACGCATGCGAAAAATTGTACGGACGAAGGGTGCAATAATGCAGAAATGCCAACAAGTGACCCAACATTCCACCCGAACCAGACTAAAAATATTCATCAGCAGTTTTGTAATTTCCTGAACTGGTTAGATAAGACTGTGCCATCATTGAATGTGTCTTGTTAATTGATACCGAACCTTAATTTACCTTATCAAGATTTTCATAACGTTAAACGTAATTTATTAATTTTCCCGGAGATGGTGATATTGTGGATAATTGATTTCTGGCACGCCATCGACTAATTTAAGTATTCCTACTTTGAAACAGACAGTTAATAAAAGTGGTACTCGCAAGGCAATTATATACTAGTTAGTTAATTGAAGTAATGAAACAGTGTTAACAGGACAACATTAATTGATAGGATGTTTGCAGTAAGACGACGAGGATCCTTTTTTTAAATAATTGCCTGCAATCGACACAATATGTAATGCTTATAGTAAGACGAACAAACGTTGATTTGAACTCACTTGGGATTTAGTCCATGTATTTCAGTTTTTTCAATTCCCGCAAAAAATTATTCACAATTGGATTTATTTAATAGAGAAGGGTATCTATGCTCCGAAAATTAAGTCGCATTGGCATAAGGTGGACAGAGAAACGAGATGCAAATACGTGCACATATTAGCAAAGTGAAGAAATACACGCCTCAGAAGAGAAGAAATAACGGGAAAGTAGTTAGGAAGATCAACATAATAATCGCCGCAGAGAAAAACAAGAGTTATAGAGCTCATTAATATAAGAGCGGCAGAGCATTAAACATGAGAAGTCAGTTTGCCTCTTTGAATACTGAAAGCCAAACAGAAGATCCAGTTGGATCATTCGGAGTTAAAGTTTTGAAACATTTTTATATGAATGTATGAATCTGAGCTGGTTCTTATTGATGCTGGCAGCGATAATGTGGATAAGAAGAAGTTGATGCCTATCACTGTAAAAGTGTATGTACAAATATGCACATTTCTCTTCTAAATAGTGACAAAGATCCAGAAGAAGTTGTAATGCAAACTCTTAAAGTTCAGAACACTAATTTATTAACTAATCCAAGTGCTGCTCTAGAAGATTACCATGAAACACCTTAGATAATTTTAATGAACTTGCAAAAATAGCCAGAGAGAAGCTGAGACAGTTCACTTAAGTTTATCAGTAGCACAGCTAACAAATAGTTCGGGTAACAGAAGCTACATTTTTTTATTAAAAACGCATAAAATAACAGTAAGTAAAACTTTCAACATCGTTTCGGTTTCAAGTATTTTTACAGGTGTTGCTTAGGAGTTGCATATAATTCAATAGCAAGCGCAATTTTTTTCAGCTGAATAAAAATATGACAAAAATACGAATCTAAACTTCGGACGCTAAAAAATGTTAAGACCATGTTGCAGTGTTTGAGTTTCCAGAGATTTTTACCAGATATTGCACTTAAAAAATGCCAAATTTAACACTAATAAAAAGCGCATTCTATGCGTTCAAACTTAGGACAAACAAACTCATTGTCAATGATGTCGCGAATGAATCGGAAACAGATGAAAACTTTTCTAATGACCAACTTGACACTGTGAGCAATAAAATCAAACTTGGAAATAAAACCCCGTATTTTCTTAAAAATCAAAATTAAAGGAAAAGTTTTCCAAGGATAAAAAAGGTGGAATTTGGTCGACAAATCCCACTTAGTTAAATATGTGGTTACTTAAATAACCACATATTTAACTAAACTTGGTTAATTTTTTAAAAATTAATTTAACTAAACTAACTAAATATGGTTAAATTTTTCATTAAACCAAAATACACATCTAAATTACGAAAAAACCTGTTGAATATTTAGGTGTTTTCAAAATTATTTACATTGTTGATCTACACAATTGCATTTTCAGTCACCTGGTGATACAAGCATTTGATTTAATAAGATTTGGCATCACAAAACTGCATCAATTTTTCATGGATAGTAGAAGATCGTTTCATCAGTTACACTAAGTAATAATTTAGCAAATGAGTTGGTAAATCGCAGTTCAAATCCGAGACAATCCGCAACAAATTGGTGGGCTCAAAATGCAGCCAAAACGGATAAAAAGGCTTAATAAAAAATAAATAACTCCCATTTGTCAACTGGACATTACGAGCAAAATCCATACGGTCATTTTGCAATGTACCTGTATTAAAGATTTTTCCGCATCGGGCGTTGCAAATCAATTAAATTGGCGTTTTCGAATTTGGATCCGACGTTTTCCATCAAACGTTATCTGGAAACTCATTTATTTACACTGGGCATGTTTTATATTTTAAACAAACCAAAAATCAATTTGCGATCGGAGCGCCAAATAAATGATTCCGGCTAATTTCCTACAGTGGGATGTCAGTTCGAAAATGCAACTATCATTTGCCAATTTTTTACGGCGGAAATAGTCGGCCCCTAAACATTTGGTAGCAATTCATTCATTAAACTATAAACCATCGACTATGTAAAATGGTTAAACATAAATTTGAAATTCGATTGCTAAACAGAATGGTGCCAAAAAAAAGATGAGGTTTTGAAGAAAATAATATTTTAAAAAATGGAACTAATTTTTGTAATTAATTAATGAGGGCTGTTTACAAGCAATTTCTTTGACCAATTGAGGCCAAAGAAGAAGCAAATGTCTTGCTTCTTGTTTGGCTGCCACTACATAAATTATTTAATATCCTGACATTTGAAGGATTATTACCTACTCAAAAACCAATCGAAAAGTGTTCCGAAATTTAAAATTCAATATAATTATTTCAAGAACAATACGATTTCTTGTATAGACACAACTGCTTAAGAATAATAACATAATAAAAACGCTACTAACCCAACAATTCTTACAATAATGCATATCCTCTATAGTCTCGAAAAACTGACGTTACTGTTTCACTTGATAAACTTATAATAAAACCTCTGAGTAATAAATTCTCTGAAAACAAAATATGAAAGCAAACCAGGCAAAAAATAATAAATCTACATGTTTGATAATCGGCATTGCCATATGGAAACATTGAAATCACAGAAAGATTCTTTCGCAATGTAACTTTTCAAGTTGAGTAACATTTCCGTTTAATCCGAGTATCAAAGGTCATAACTTTTATTCGCCGAGCTTTTCAAACGAGCTAAAGGTTCGTTTTGTGTCTTTTTATTTGTTTTAAATAGCTCGGTAAAACGGAATGAAAAAATTGGAAAAATAATTTCCATCCCGTTCAACAGGTGTAGGTAGGTTATTTTTGATAACCGGTGCGGTTATTTTTTATGCAAAGCACTGGATATTGTGGAAAAAGCTATTCACACGTGCCCTTTTTAATGCGGGGTGGACGCTTTAAAAGCTATATTTTTTAGGTTTATACATATAGTGTGAATTATTTTAGAGCTATTTAAAGAATAATTTCTTCAATGTGGGCAAATAAATTGAATTAAATATATGAAGAGGTTTATTTGTTAAATGGAAATTTCTAATATGCGTTAGTTTTCCTTTAATAACGCAGGATTCTGAAGGACATTTCATTAAAATATAATCGAGAAATTACAGGATAAGCTCAAATTAATTAAAAAATATAAACTTATGAACAATACTATTCCAGTTTAATCTTCTAATGTTATTTCTTCAATTTCCTTCTTGCACTAATTTATTGTTAACAATTCAATCGGGTATTATGTATTTCCGAATTCCCTATCAGTACCGGTAATACATTAAAAAAAAATGTTCACGACTTGAAAAAATATGAAGCACTTATTTTAATGACGCATAATTGAAACCGTACTGAAACTTTTGTAATTAATGAAGTCGACGAAAAAAAAAGGAAAAAGTGAAACTTTTAGCCCAGGCAAAACAAATAATTTGTTAAAATACACCGTAATCTGATTAAACCGGCTTAGAGTCGCAATGTCAAAGTAGAATGATGAATTGTTCCTCGACTTTAATGTTCTTTATATAACAAAATTGTTTCATGATTTATGGGATTTTAAAGAAATAATGTAGAACATGGGGGTTTGGCGATAGCTTATAGGTGGGTAAATACGGTGTTCTAATTTCGGGTTTGAGGCTGAACTGAGCGTGCAAGGTTAGTTCAAAGAACTAACGAGGGACTGGAAAATTACTTTAAAATACACCTCTTATTATTAACCAACACAACAATTTATGCTTGGAGCCAAATGATTTTCCAACGACTTTTTTACTGTTAGCCAAATATAAAACCGTCTGCACGTAAAAATATAACAGTTTTAAACGAGAGCAGCCCAAACAACACTGAAAGTCAATGTTTATATTTACGGAAAAGTTTGCAATAAGCCACCGACAAACATTTGTTTGCTGCAAAGTACCAATTTTTACAACGGCGCTTTCAAACAAAATTCAATTAGCAATATAGCAAACTACAACTTTTTTAATACGAATTTTCAGAGTTAAGCATTGTTTCAACATGATTATATAATAAAGGTGAATTTTTTAATGAAACTGCCACATCAGTTTCAGCATTTGACTGTGTGTTTTCTTAAGATTCGGAATGGAAGCCGTTGTATTTATTTAATACTTATTTATAGATCAACTGGCCGATTGTCCATTAAAAAAAATCCTTTAAACCTGTTCATACAGAGCATACGCCGAGGTTTCCGATACTTCGTATACGAATTATATTAGTCTATTATATTCAATTCTTTTCACATCTGCTGAATTTCAATGTTTTATGAAATACCGGATTATGCGTATCTGCTCAAGAGTGAATTACATTTTTGCAACCAGCGAACATGGTAATTTATTAATTAGCAACTTGGTTTGAACCGGGAGAAGTTGCTAGTTGTGGCAAAACTATTTTCCTTTAAATTTGTGCCTATATTTTAAGAATATATATTTGGTGTTGTGAACTTTTTTGTGTTATAAATGAAAATCTTTTGATAATGAGATTGTGGTCTGACGTTAATTATACTAGAAAGGCGAAAAGTCATCATATTTTAAATGCGGATCGGAACGTGGATTTCTTAGCTTAAAAAAACAAAACAACAGTTTTAAAAACATATGTTTACAAATTCAGCCAAGATTACTTGGACATGATTTACTCTGATATGCAACGGGTTGTTTTTCATATAATCCATCGTTAAGGCAATTTGAAAAAAGCTTTAAACGCTTATTAATTTATTAGCTTTCATAATTTTTTTAACCAGCTAATACTACTTCAAGCGGTTAATTAAACTTTCTATATTTCGTGGTCTAGTGAGAATTCAGGAACAATGAAAATAATAACTTATGCCTAAAATTTGCCATATAATTCATTAATATTAGATAATAGGCAACTTTCAAATTACCAATACAACTTTTCTTTTGTATATAATACAATTATTCTGTATGTAGTGCAGAAAAAAATACTATTCCAAACTAAAAAATAGTGAAAATTCTTGAGCGAAGTAAAAAGTAGCAAAAGTTCCGTTCCGAAAAATAATATTTGTTATTTCTTGACAAAACTACTTCAACTTGTTTAGTACACGTTGCCATTACAAATTGCAATTTGGAGTTGACAGAATTCGCGAAGGAAAAAATAATAAATCAAATTTATAATAAACTTGTAAAATTCCTTAACTCCAGTCTTACAAAAATTATTAATCGACGTAATTTTGTGGATTATTTGCTTAGAACAAGGCAGTTAATCACGCACCAGTGATCACGCTAGTTGAAAGTTAGATTACTTTCCCTAATTACCCTTAGGGCTCTTTAAAGTTTTCCGGTATGATTAATGCAAATATTCTATGCAATCCTTTGATTAGTTCAGTAGATACTTATTGATCTCCATTCAAATCAATAAGTTGTAAACAAATAAATACCGTATTTTTTGCAATTTTCGGGAGGATAAAATGGAAACTACCACATATTTTGAACAGTTTCGAAAACTTATGACTAAGTTATGTGAGCCTTAATATAAATACCTGCCAACTGCACACAGTGAATGTTTTTTAATTAACTTTTTATATTCCCTATGGAGTCCGTTACGAAGTCAGTAAAATACATAAAGAGGGAAATGGCATGATAAAAAAAAACGCGGCGCGGAAATTACGAGCTATTCGAAAGCCTTTAAAAAGGTCAGATAAACGTATCAGTAAACTTGTGACTAAAATGAGTTTAAAGTAGATATAACATATTCCTTTGATGTCGGCCTCAAAAGTTATTTCATCTTGCTAAAGGATCTGAAATGACCAACGGCACTTTTTCAACCTTTGAGTTTGGATTTTAGCATGCCCACAAAAAGAATAAACGAGAAAGGTTAAACTCTATTTATACAGTAATAATAGAGGCTTCTAGACTGACATGTTTGGGCTTTGGTTTGTAATACAAAGGCGACCAAATTGATTTAGGGAATAATGTCCCTCATTATGATGCTTAGGTGGCACTAAACCTCATATTTAAAAGCATACATTTCCATTATTAAAATGCTCCTACTAAAACTAAATTTAAAAAAATCACGACAAAGAAAGATTATCAGATTCTTAGTGACTTAAATGTTTAGTTCAACAATTTTGCTCCTTTTTATAAAACTATAAAATATTAAAAGTTTTATGTTCCACCAGGTTGTTGTTAACTGATTTCCAAAGTGAAATATTTCTGTGATTTCAAAGGCTAGATTTATCTTGCAATCGACAAAAAGACGACGATAATATTACGTTCCAGTTTTTCGATCGAAAGTTTCAGAGCAGAAGTGAACATTACAGTGTCAGCTTTAAGCTGAAGCTAAGAGAGTTTTCTTGTAAACTTGTCTAGTAAAAACTTAGTGTCGACGCCTTTCAAGCTAATATTATTTTGGATATAAGTATATTGAGTAAAGAAAACGGGTCATATTTTAATAGTGAGACGAGAGACAGAAAAACAGATTTTAGGCTCATTACTTATAGCGGCTGGAAATATGGCGTTATAAATTAGAAATTTTACATGTTGGATTTTAACGCTGAACATGCAATATGTGCACTATTGCTGCAACAGTAATAAAGTGAGATTCTCGTTTTAAAAATGTTCAAAAACATATAACATTAAAATTGCGACTGCTCTCGGAGTCTAAATTTAAACTAACAAAAAAATGCACTTCACACCGGTTATATACATCAAGTAGTGTGGGAATTTGTATTGATTCCGCAAGTAGCACAAGAAACGTATTAAAATAGCAAAAGCAGGCAAATTGAATTGCAAAACGCGAATTTTTTCTTAAATTTGAATCAAACACATATTTTTAAACTCTGGTATCCGAACCCTCACAATTTGATTATGGGAAATGTAAAGGCTTGCCTTTAAGCATACGTGGAGGTAAGATTGAATGATAAAATGTAAAATATTAGAAAACAATGCAAAAAAGCCATTTGGAAACTTTGCAGAATCTGAAAATTAATACAATCACTTACCTTAACACACAAATATCACATATATTTTTTTCTCAAGATAGATAGGAGGAATCTTTTCAACTGTGTAATTAAAACAAGATAAGGCCGTGCTCGCTCTTTATTGTCATTCGTTCTTGGGTCGTAACGAAATACAGGGCGGATAATGTGCCTGCATTTTTTTAAATTTAACAATATATGTTATTTTCGCCAAAGCTTTGATTCCATCGTGTCTATCTTGAGAAAACATAAACGAAATAGGAGTAAATAGCGTGGAAAATATTGCTTGGTAATAATGTTCCAGATTATTATATTTACAAATGTAAGTTGCTGGTTCCATTCTGCTTTAAAAAAAAAATCAGAGAATAATTGATTGAATCAATAGCGTCGATTCCTTCCATGATAATGCTAATCCCAACAGAATATTGAATATACATTCGTGACTCAATTAAAATATCGAACCACAAACTAAAAAATTGCTTTCTCACGTAATTAGTATTTTAATTAAGCAAGAAACATTTTGGATAGTTTGTGGTTTAATTAAAACGATGGTCACCTTGGGAGTTCGACAGTAAGAACAGGGTATGAACATTTCAACGGAACCGCAACTTACGTGTTAAATATTGGATGTAAGGAGAACCGGAATAGTTTCCTGGAACTGAAGAAAATTCCGGTTAAACACAATGTTAGGCATGCATTCGAGATTCTAAAAACCAACGGAGGCCGACAACATTGCGATTTTCCATGTAGCTTTCCAAAGCATATTTATCCAATATCAACCCACACTTCCCAGAAGGACATCCGCTGAAAGTTTTTTTTTTACTTTCTTTATTATGTTTTGTCATACTTTTACTTCTGGAAGTTTTTTTAATAACAGGAACTCCTGCGAATGCTATATTTCAGGTACATCTGCCAATACCTGCTGACAGTAGGAAATAATCTCTTCTCAGCGCATAAAAACGACCATATTCATATATGATTTCATAGCAAGGTTGATCTCTTGAATAATATAAAGAAATATTACTTTATTTTGTAGTAGTGAAATTCAGTATCATCCTCCTGAGCAATACTACATGTATATCGGACTTTAGTCTTCGATTAATTAATTCCTAAAGACCGAAGATGTGTGATTTAGACGCGAGTTTGGGTGTCGCCTGAAAATAATTTTATTAATAAACATATTTATAAAAACACATTTATTTCTTCAAGATCCAGACTCTCTAAATATTATTTTGTAATATACTATAATAATATAACGAAACGAAAATTTCGATTACATAAAAAGTAAAGAAATATGAAATTCAAATTCCGAGTTTAATCCACGATTTAACTTTTAGCACTCCCACAGATTATTTGTTTCAAATTCGTTGCGGCTTAAAACATTCGAAAATGAGAAAAAACGGTCACAGGAAAAGTCAAAAATAAAGGCAATTTGAGAAAGTGATGAAACGTTGGAAATAAGCAAAAACATAATCTAAATGTAAATAGGATTATGTAAAAAAAATTATTTTCTAAGGGCGTGAATACCGACCAACACTGTCTTATAAAAATAAAGCTTGGGGGCGAAATCCATCAGAAAATGTAATTTCAATTAAAACGAGAGAATGAATGGCGAAGAACTTGAGGCCTCCATCAAATAATTAATTATTCCTTGGGAATTTGTGAACTTCGGCTACTTTACTTCGCGAAACAGATACCCATGTGCCTAAATTGTTCTTTATTTCACAATTATTATTATCCCGAACAGCTCACATTGCAACTAATTAATTTTTGTTTAATACACTATTGTTTCAGGAAAATTCACAGTATAAAATGGACTGTATTTGGTCTTTAGTTAGTTTGATAGTGAAATCATATTTTTTCCCTTTGTTGCCAACACGAATGGAACACTTGAATGAATGAATGAAACAGATGCTTTTGCTATTGGAGGAATGATGACGATTAACGACAAAAGTTGAGGGTTAAAAATAATAGCAACGCAATGAATGCTTAGAACGATAAAACCGTTTTTGTAACTTTGAAGACGTCTTAAAGAGATGCACACTGAGTAAGGCGCAATAAAATTTGATATCAAAAAGTAATTAAAAATCAAGAAGTATGTTAAAATATAATAATTATGCGGAAAGGTTTTGTTGCTGGTTAGAATGTGTTCGCACGTCTAAATAAGGGCTGAAACCAGGAAGGTTCAACTACCCAAATGGTTGGCCTGCGAGAAAACCCAACTTGGAAATAAACTTGTACCTTTCTCTATGAATTTAATGATTGTTAATTGATACAAAGTTCAATTGATGCTTCTTCGACAATTTTCGAAACCAATGATATAAAAATACATATGTTCGTTTTCAAACGCGTCGATTAATACGAAATATTAATACGGAGTACAGTAGAATTTCGTTATCGTCAAAAATAAATTAAAAATTGAATTTACACACATTTAAAATAACGCATTATAGTCGGTTTCTTTGAAGAAACACAGTATAACAAAGGAAATGGCAACCGGTTTTTATTGAACCGGAACATTGACCTTCAAACAGCCATGACCGAAACCATTTGAATATGCCCCATGAGAATTATTTAAATATAAGAAGGATTTAATAATATACTTTAAAACTACTTAAGCACAAAAAAGGCATATTTAAATGCGAATCGGGATAATGAAAGTAAGTCATGATCATGCAACACTCTAATGAATATTAAAAGATTCATTAAGTCTTTCTCATTTCTGTATTTGCGTATCAGCAAAATAAATATTAAAACGATGATTAAAGACGTGTCCTACCGCAGTAGCTATGCAGAGTAGGATTTATCAGAAACATGCTAAAATTTATAAAGTTATTAATGATAACAATTATTTGGCACATTGGCGCCCAATCACCATTGGCTCACAAACACATTTCAACTCTATGCTGCAAAAAGAAATCAACGCTCTTGAAAATAAGGGGCGGTTTTAACATGCACCCCCACCCCAGTTGTCTCCACTTCAGTCCCAAAAAATCTAAATTTTAGGCACACATTAAATTTCTGACAAATTTGAAGCGCTTGCTTCCGTACTGAATAAGTTTTAAGTTTCAAGTTCAAGTAATTAAAACTGTAAAGGTCACATCCGGTCACACTGTCGAAATTAGTGAGGACTCTAAGGAAAAACAGACATTCCATCGTGAATCCATTACAGATTTCCATCAGTCCGTTACATCCGTTTGTTCAGCGTCCGTCGCATTGTCAAGGCGCTTACTGCCCCAAGATTCCCATTAATCTTGTAGGACTACTCACGGCTAGACAGCTTTGCTGATGCCGTAATTTGTGTCTCTTCGGATTTATATCTTTTTCTTCGGCCTCGTTCCTCTGACCCATCCAACATTTGACTGGCAGAGCTAAAAATGTTTTTCCGGCTTTGTTTCCGTTTCAAACCTTCCAACGTTTCAATATTTATTTTTTCCATTCCGGGGATTGAAATCTTTACAAGAGGGATCTGCGATATCTGGATGTCTTTCCGTCAATCATGTGATATGAAGATTAATGCACCAATTTGTACGAAAAGTTCAGTTTGAAAGATGTATTTATTAATGTAATTTTAATGTGTGAGCATTAAAGCTGTTTTGCTATAACACTTGAAAATGTCTCATACATAAAATGTTAGCATTAGTGCAACAAGTTTAATTAGGTTTAAATTAAACATTTTTAAGTGAATAGATTTGTAGTCCGTCCAAATAAGGTGGTAATGTTTATTATGATTTCTCAACCTTCTAATCTCAAGCTCTATGAAGTTTATGTACATAACAATTGTTTCAGCAAGCAGAACATAATATTTAAGCGCGTGTCTTCAAGCTGCAATATACTTGCAAATTACAGGAACTGGGTGTGTACACACTGGACAAAATGAATTACCAAACAGTGTATTAAAGTGTGTAATTTCTGCCTTTATAAGTTAAAACAAGAAATTCCACACTTTAATGGACGAGCTGTTAATTCATGTAATACCTATATTTAATAACAATAACAGGCACTTCAATTTCCTTTAATTGTGGCATTGTGGGAATAATAAAAATATCAGACTTTTCCTAAGCGCATTTTCCTTCGATACTCAGAGGCTTTTAAGAATTGAAAATCATCAAATTTTTATTTTTTAATAATTTTTCAAGAATTATAAAAATTAAATGTGTCGAATAACAATGAACTTAAATCTGGATCAGGTTTCGACTTCCCTCCGTCGTCATAAAAAATGTCGCCCATCTCAATTTAAAGAGTTGTTCAGAAAATTGTATCATCATTCTTCTATTCGAGAATATTTGGTTTCCGGCTCATATTTTAACAAAGGTATCATAAATCTGTTTGGGACGATCCCATTCATCACGCTTCAAGGAAAATGATATAGGAGGAAATTTTAGAGTCCATCAAAAGCGACTAGCAGCGAGCACGGGAAAAGTGAATATCTGAATAGCATTATGAACATTACCTTTCATACAGTCTGCCTACAATTAGAGGCATTTGTATTCGCGAAATATGTCAAATGCTTTTTCAAAAAGCGGCACCAATTCCTTCCACATAAGAGCCTTAATTGAGGAAAATATATGGATCTCATTAGCTTCCCATGCCAACTTGTAATAATCATAAATAAGTAAATGTACCGTGTAATTATATTGGTAGTCATTTCGAAAAAGGGTTCGTCGAAGAGGAGGATTTTGGCTTACACCAGGATACTCGTGTATCCTTGTTGAATAAATAATTTTAAATATAACTAATTAGATGAGTTTTCTTTCGTTCTAGTTCAACACGCGTCTCATATACGGTGATATCAACAGATACAGAGAAACTTAACTAATGCATATCGAATATAAAAATAAACAACACGAATTCTTCTAATTACTTAACATCTTAATGACGAATCTAGGCAAAATTGATAAATATGGAATTGCGACCGACGCAGCAAGACTCCACAAGCTGAAAGTTGAATAACATTAAATGAAAAAGTTAACAGAAGGACAAATTACTTGTTAAAAAACTTATGGCTTTATGTAATCATATTTATACAAGTCCCAATCAACATAGAGAAAAAGACGATTACTGATATAAAAATAGTAAATGATAAATTTGCAACACACACACCGGTGAACTACAGACAATAGAAATAGACCAAATAGATGAAAACTTAGAAAAATAGGCCAATATTTAACAATATTATGAATAAAATTCTAAAAACAGCAGCGATGCAAAGTTTTTTGTTCGAATTAAATATCATGTTTAACAAATTAAACCGAGTCACACAATTTATCTTCGGATATTCGGTAGGAGGCGAATATTTTAGCCCGACATCATAAATCCATGTAGGACGAACACGTTCATCATGATACACGAAAAATCCCAGTAATTTCAACGTCCAGCAAGCAAGCATGGTAATATAATAGATATTTGAAACCTATTTTTCTACTAGGCAAAATAAATTACGGCCATTAAAGCCAGCAATTTTCACGTGCTAGTTGGCAATTTTTGATTTCAAATAAATTAAAAGTGTACACAAGTACACATTGTTTTCAGTTAGTTATTATTAAAATATTTCGTATATGCAGAAATTATTATTGTGCACAAATTCGTCGTGCTGAAATTGTACAATATAAATATGTATAAAAATAAATACGTTTTTGTAAAACTGAACACAGTTTA